AGTACTGGTCGTACTGCAGCGCGGTGAGCTCCTTGACGTAATGGATCGCCGTCGAGAACTTGGTGAGCGTGTTGAGGAAGGCGACAATCTCGTCGCGCGAGGACGAGGTCGGCAGCAGCTCGGTCGGCAGCAGCAGCATCTTGAGCGCGGCGCCAAAGCCCAGCATGGTCACCTGTGAGACGGAGTGCCTGGTGGTGGACGCGTGGAGAGGAGCCTCGAGTGTGGCCACAGTGGCGCGAGGCGCGTCCACCCCCAACGGGCGGCACACTTCGTTGCTAAGGCCGGTGGGGCGGCACACTTCGTTGCTAGGGCCGGGGCACGCCGCGCCTTGGCGTGCAGCCGGCACTTTTGGCAAGAGACGCAATCGAGCACGGTCGAGACGTTGTGGAAGACGGACTTGAACTGCTTCTTGAGCGACCACCACGAGGCCTGCTGCTCGCGGAAGAGCAGGCCTATTTGGTGAAGGGGTGGTGAGTCAGGAGCTGGTAATGGATGGGGCGTGCTACTCTCGTAAAGAGCAAGCCCTCGTCAAAGGCGGAGAAGGCGGGCGCGCACGAGCGGAGGATCGCGGAATCAAGCAGGCGCTGCACCTAGTGAAGCGCAGCGCGGGAGAGTGGGTCCGCTCGGCCCTCAGAGAGGCGGAGTCGAGCGCAGCCGCCGCACCAGCGAGGAGGTGGACGCGTCTTCGGACGCAGAGACTCCCGCCACGTACGCGTACGAGGCGAGGTAGGGGGAGGCGCGCGCCTGCAGCGTGAAGTCGCCGCGCTCAGGGCGCGGCTGCGGTACCGCGCAGTGTATGCAGAGCGTCGCACGAAGACGCGGGCTGTGATGGCAGCGAATGCAGCTGAATGCGGCAGAGTAGAGCGGACGGCGTGTGTCCTCTCGAGCGCTAGGTGGGAGACGGAGATGCGTCTCCCGCTTCTAGCGGCGCGCGCGAGGGCGCGCAGTAGGACGACGAATGCAAAGTGCAGGTTCTTCAGCCTCTCGGGGTGGCCGTCGAACTGGCGGCGAAAGTAGGGCAGGTC